TTGATCGTTGGTTAAATTCAACAAATTAATTTTAAAAATTTTTAACTTTTATTTTTTTCGTTTTTAACACCTCCAACAAAAATTAACTAACTTCACTATGCTTACAAATTAAGCAGTATTTAAGTTCAACTTTAGACCATGTGGTCCACTCCAAGGTGTCCGCAACTCAACATTTATATGTTGCGTATTATGGGCAAAACAGTTGGCCTCCTATATTGCCATTATCTAATCAAGCCCACATTCAAGACCTCGCCTGGTTCTATCTTCTTGTCTTTAAAGATCAGTAAGTTCTGAGCTTTCCATATATTATGCTAATAAGAAATGGACAATTATTATATATTTTTATTAACAAAAAAATAATAAAATTGATTGAACTAAACTTAAATTTAGAGTTGTCTTAACTAAAAAAAAATTTAAGATTGTTTAGTCTTCGATCAAGATTTGAATGATACAAAGAAAATGAAACAAATACAATCCAATTAAAGTATTATATCAAAAATCTTTAATACTAATGTATTACTTATTACAAAGACTACATAATAAGCACAAAATTAAACTGTTACTAAAAAGATAATTATACAAATTATCTAGTTAGAGCTATTATATGATACTATTACTTAGCTAGACTATAGTATGTGGTTAGATTTATATTATAATAATGTTAGTCATATATATATAAAGTTAATTATATTTATAATTTAAAAATAACTGATTAATATAATTCTAAATAAATATTATAGTCTAACTAGATAATAGTATTGTATAATAACTCTAATGAGATAATTTGGATAATTATCTTAATAGTTAACATGTTAAAATTTGAATACAAAGCTACATTATCAACTTATATAACAGTGATAATGCATAAATACTGGCAAGCAACTTTAAAAGATATAATGGATGAGAGTCCAACCCATTTAGATGAGTGGATAGGATGCCAATAGGCTTTAAATCCAAATGAAAAAGGAATGACCAAGACCCAACCCGACCAGTGAGCATTGAGACTTGGGATGAGAATGGGCTCCTGGGATAACCCAATTTGGCCCGAATTAACTGGACCGGTTTGGTTTTTGGGTTTACCTGAATGCACTCACATGTAGTATATTTATACTAGGCAAGAAAGGCAAACTCAGCGGGTGAGGTGAATGTCCCTCAGAGACCAGGCGGCGTTATTGCAGTTTGCCTATGTTGGTGTAGCATTTCTGAAGAAGACATATAAAATTTTAATATTAAATTTATTATTATGATTATTATTTTTCTTTTTCACTTAAATTTTGGACCCATTTAGTACGATTCTAAATCAATTAACATGTGAAACGTGTGCGCATAGTAAAAAGTACTGACACTACTTAATTTGGAATATAACTCTGGGCAATTAAAGAATGAAGAATCACATTATTTTAAAATGTAAAACCCCAACAACAATGGAACCACAAATTAAGGCCCTTTTGACTCTTCCAACTAAGCAGGACCCTGGGGCTAAGCTCCTTGTGCTGAAACGAGCAAGGGGCCGGACTGGGCTCTCCATCCTGTTTCAGATCCTTCTAATGCCTCTTCTCTCCCCCCTGCTGCCAGGAATAGGCCTAGACCAGTCTTTTTCTTTGGTTAACTTAGGTGAGACAGATTTGTAAATACTGCGAGATGGGGACCATTTTGATTCACTAACTTGTCACATCAATGCCTACTTAATTTTGCTGATGCACACTTGAACAATAACACAAGAGCAAAAGCAGCCTCAAGAGTTTGTTGCCCAAATCAATGCAAATGGTCCATGCTTTTGCCTTAAAAGTGTTGGTAAGGGCTTGCATGATAGGCACAGGGAAGAGGGTTTGATTTTAATGCTTCCTGAGAAACAGAGGTATGGAGGGAGCGCAGGGAAGAAAAGATTCCAAACTAGTTATTTGTATACATCCATGATGCACTCCTCTGACTAAAGCCCTCTAACTGTGTAATTTGTGACAGCAACTTAAATGATTGTAAGAAGAAGAATATCCATCCATGTCTAGTCAAGAGGACTGGATTTGCTATTTTCTTTTTTACTCTGTTGTTGTATTATGACCTCCCCCGTTTTATTGAATTAATAATATTAATAAACAAGAATGTTTCAAAAGAATTTCATTGAATATTAAGTTGCCAAAGGCAAGTACTATAAAAATGACCACAACAATTAAAAAGTGATACTATTCAAATTTTGCTATATATAAAAACAAAGCAAATTACTGCTTCTTAAAGCACTATATAGTAGTTCTAGAGAAGATAAACAAATGTTGCTTCACTATGGGGGACATCAATGCTGCTTAAAGAGGGTTAATATAATTTAATACTAAAGTGCAATGGTGGTCCAAATTAAACAGCTTCTTATCATAAGCTGCATGGTGTCCTTTAACTTTTGGCATTTGCAGTGGTAAGATTACCTGGAGAAAATGTACCCAAGTTTTTTTTTTTTAAAAAAGATTACCTCCATTCTCTTCTTTTTATTTTATTTTATTTTTTAAAAATTTATTACAAGGAACCTTACCTGTGAAAAAGAAAATTTGGATAATTATACCATTTTATGAAAATAAATAGTGTTTGAATTCAGATCACATGTGCACAAAGCAAGAGAATAGACCAGGATGAGACAATGCTTGGGAGGCCCATTTTCCAAATCAATTCCCTGAATCTATATGTCTGCTAAAACTTGATCATGAACCGATGACCTTGGTTCAGATACTCATGACTAGTTCAAAAAATATAAACAATTTTTTTCTTTTCTTCTTCTGTTTCCTACTTTGAGTCCATGAAAATTGAAAATGGGTCCAGACTGCAAGAATTAATGTTATTATTATTATTATGGTACTTATAGACGTTCCTTTCTATCAACATCATCCCAGAGAGTTGCTCAACATACTGGTCAAAACATCCAGGGCAAGTCGTTTTGAAATTGATATTCACCCTTGTAATTTTCAATTAAATTGGCAGCAGAAGCTCAGATTTAGATCTCCTTTCAAAATTTAAAAAACCAACAGATTTAAATAACTTTTTTTTTTAATTTGAATTCACCACTGTCAAGTGTGAATAGCTAGCTAATAAAAGGATACCATTTTTATCATCCCAAATACTCGGTGAAGTATTCATTTGTATCCCAAAGAATCATGGAAAATTAAATTAAATAATAACGTTCAAGTAATTGTTTATAACTAAAGAGATACCCTCCTCTCTCCCTCTCTCTCTCTTATTTATTGGCCTCGCTGCCATAATTTACCAAAAACAGATTCAAAATCTGCACCACTACACCCCTTATTTGCTAAAACACCCTTTTCAAACTGAGAGAAAAGAGAGATCTTCTGCAGAATCAATGGCAGAGAGATACTGAGCCACAAATCATTATAGAAAAGAAGATACGGAAACTGAAATATCTTTCTTCTTAACCTAAACAAGCAAAAAGAGAAGAAGTTTCAGCCTTCATTTCTCCTTTTTCTTTTTGGACTCTTTACAGACAAAAGGGTTGTAGTAGCTACAAAAACCAACCCTTTTGCTTTATTACCCTGATCCTGATCAGTGGCAAGAAAAGTTGTACCCTTTGTGTGGTTTGTGCAAAAATGGCAATCAGATTTTCTTCCTTTGGTTTCATAAAATAAAGGGTGTAAGATTACTATAAAATATTGTTAGTATTTGTTTTCACGGGGTGTAGCTTTCATTTTGTACACGATTGGTACACATTGCTCCACAAAGTGGGAGAGAGAAAGCCTTGGAAAAAGTTTGAGACTTGAAAGAGAGACAGAAACCGGCGCTTCTTTTGAATTTTGAGAAGGTGAGGGGTGAGTTTGTTCTTCTCTGTGTGATTATTATTACTACAGCTTTTTACTTTTCATGATTTGTCTGTAATTCTTTGTTTTGGCATACTGAGTTTTATTTGAAACATATAGTTTTCGTAATAACATAATTATGTTATCTGTATCTTTCTGTGACATCCTTGTTTGTCTTGTAATGCAGTTCTTCACGAGGTTGTGTCAGATTTTCTTTTCAAAAGAACACACTAAAAAAAAATCCTAGCTTTATCCATATATTTTGATGCCCTTTTTTTAGTTAATGTTTTTCCTCCTCGCTGTTCTCATCACTTCTCTACTTGCAACCTGTAAAGATTCTAGAGATCTTGCAGACACCCTTTTTTTTTTTTGTTTTTGTTCTCTTAATAAACTCAATCCCCACTTTGTTTCTCTCTCCAGTATTTCTCGGATTCCACTTTCTCTTTTTGAAAGCTTTGTTCCTGCTATACTTTTTGTTGCTAGAAACCATTGGGTTTGGAAGGGGTCTTCGATACAGTGCTTTGACATTTGCGTTTCTCTTTACAAAGATTTCCTGGCTAGCTACTTGTTATTCTCTCTTGTTTTGTCACTTCAAATTCCAGGGAAAGTGCGAGGGAGAAAGGAGTAAAATGAAGCTTCTTTTGCGGTCCTTTTTCTAACAAACTCCGCTTGTTTTGTTTCTCTATTTAGGATTACTTTTGTTACAACTACTGCTACTACTTTTTCCTTCCTTGGTTTCGATCCTCAAGAGATGGGGAGGGCTACAAGGTGGCTGAAGGGGCTGTTGGGCATGAAAAAAGAGAAAGACAAAGACAGAGACCAGATAGGGCATTCAAATTCAGTTTTATGTGACAAGAAAGAAAAGAAAAGATGGAGTTTTGCCAAGTCCGGGAAGGATGCTAATGCAATCTCTCAGATTCCATTGAGTATTGCAAGGAGTATTCCGGCGAACGATGCTGCTTGGCTCAGATCCTACATTGATGAGAGTGAGAAGGAGCAGAAGAAGCATGCAATTGCAGTGGCTGCTGCTACAGCAGCTGCAGCTGATGCAGCCGTGGCAGCAGCACAGGCGGCGGTGGCAGTGGTGAGGCTGACCAGCAATGGAAGAGGTACATTGTTTGGTGGAGGGAGGGAGAGGTGGGCAGCTGTGAAAATTCAAACGGTCTTCAGAGGCTATTTGGTAAGCGGATATTTTGACATTCCATTTCTTTTGTTTATTGATTTATCTACTTTTTGGTCCGTATTATGGAGTTGTCTTTCTTGTTTCTCACTTGTTTGCCTGTCTGCTCTAAAAAGTTCTGGGAAAGAAGATTCAAACGGTAATGGAAACAGTACATTTTTGTTTTCCTGTTGGGACATGGGAGTCAATCGGTATCAATTTGTACCTATATTTATTTTCTTAACACTACCCAAGCTTGGTAATTTAACTATCTATCGGATTACTTTTACGTCTGCTGCTCAAAAGCTGAAGACAGAATTAAGACTCAAAGCTAATGAAACAGTAGGTGTGTTTTCTTTGTTCAATGTAACGGTACTTGTGCTACCTATGTTTTCCAACTCTCTTTTTGACTGTGGCCCAAAAATCTTTTCTTCCTCCATGGATTTGAATTTTTGAATTTTAAAAGCTTTGTATTTTGTTGAAGAACTGGGTATCGTTTGTCTAAGCCAGGCGTTGAATTTTTGGTTTTTGCCTGTTTTTGGCACCGCATTAAAGTTGGTGACTTTTGGGGCCCCTATAGCCAATTATTTGACTTTTCCAAAAATATAAATAAATAAAAAAAAAGAAAATGAAAAAGATAGAGAAGAAAGAGCTGCAATCGTTTTCCCTCTTGGAGCCTTTGTTGAATCCAATTTGGTTATACTTTCAGGCCAGGAAAGCACTTAGAGCTCTGAAAGGACTGGTTAGGTTACAGGCTCTTGTTAGAGGCTATCTTGTGAGAAAGAGGGCTACTGCAACTCTGCATAGTATGCAAGCTCTTATTAGAGCACAAACAGCAGTTCGATCTCAGCGAATACGTCGCTCCTTCAACAAGGAGAATAGGTACTATCCTGAAAACAGGCCCCGGAAATCCATTGTAAGTCCCATTGCCAACACGTTCTCTACTGTACACTATATTATGCAACTTCCCTATTTAATCAGCTGATTTCATTGATGTTTTTATCTCTCATTTTCAGGAAAGATTTGATGATCCAAGAAGTGAAATCCACAGCAAAAGACTATCTGCATCAATTGAAATCAGTGCATACGACGAAAGCCCTAAAATAGTTGAAATTGATACATTCAAGACCAGGTCAAGGTCCCGCCGGTACAATATTGCGTTATCAGAATGTGGGGATGACTTGCCTTGCCAGATAATCTCTTCGCCTCTTCCATGTCCAGTTCCAGCTCGAGCATCAGTACCCAATTGCCAAAATCTTCATGATTTTGAATGGTGCTTCACCGGGGATGAATGTAGGTTCTCGACTGCTCATAGCACTCCTCGTTTTGCTAATGCTGCAAGGTCCAATGCTCCTACTACACCGGCTAAGAGCGTGTGTGGAGACGGGTATTCTGGGCCTTATTCCAACTTCCCTAACTATATGGCAAACACACAATCCTTCAAGGCCAAGTTAAGATCTCACAGTGCCCCAAAGCAAAGACCAGAGCCAGGAGTAAAGAAGAGGCTTTCGCTCAATGAAATAATGGCTGCAAGGAACAGCATGAGTGGAGTTAGAATGAACAAGTCATGTTACCAAGTTGAAGAAGCTTTAGATTTTTGAGTAGTGCTCAAGTTTCAATGTCCTCTTAATTTGTTTGCTAAGAAAATTAGGAGGATTTGGATAGAGAACTGTAGAAGTTGAACCAATACAACTTCTCTAGTGTTTTCCACTTCGTTATGAACAAGCCATAGGATAGAACAGAGCGCTTGTGTAAATTCTTCCAAAGAGTTTTTATTCAATCATGCCCTTGCCAATGAAATGAAGATTTCCATTATATATAAATACATACATATATCTTTAAGAAGAGCAACTTTTTTACCCCTTGAACAAGGTGCTTACACAAATTCTAGAACCTAGATGACAGTTTGGAACTTTCTTTGTAAAATGCCAAAATCTGGGGAACCTTGTTTAGATGGAATGGAGAAAATGAAAGTTCAAAAAGTTGCTGAAATAAAGCCAGAATTGATAACACTATCAATATTTTGAATTATAGTATTACTTAAAAAAAGATTTAAAGCTTCCTTGATGGTTCTAAATTTGGCATTCACAGTTCGACTTTAGGGAGGCCAGTTTAGGTTGGTGGTGAACTGCACTGCTGTCATTTATGAGCAGGACAATTTTTAAAGCTCTGCTCAATGAGTTAAAAAAAAAAGATAATGTGGGGCAAGCCCTGCCTGCCTGCCTGCGTGTCTGCGTTGGCTTTGAATCCTACTATTAGCTTTCAACCAATTTGTAAGGTATTAAACGTTTTAACTCGTTGAATATATTACCTTATTGTTTTATTTCAAGAAAAATATCTCATAAGTTGAAAATAATATAAATTTTAAATATTTAATTTTATTTTAATACATTATTTATGTAAAATATATGATTCTTTTATGAAATTATGATATTTTTTTTAATGTAAAATTCATGATTTTTTTTACAAAGTGAGATTAATAGCTCTTCGTTAAAATTATGACACTGTAGATATATTATGATGTAAGTAAACTCACAAAAAATAACTACTTAGTGAAATTGTTATTTATTAAAATTTTATCATATATGTGAATAGTTAGGTGGTGGAAAGTCAAGATAAACTAGCATCGCTCCAATTAAAGTTGTTACACCTTGAACTAGTTGGAACATGAAACTCCAGAATTTCAAATTGGTCCCATATTGATATTGCGTCTCAAATATCAATCTCTAATGGCAAGCCCTATCATATATATATAGTACTAATATAAATACTAGTACATATCCTGCGCCCTGACCTACTATAACTTTTCATGTTTATTCTCATGCTTTAGCTCCATGATAATCTTCCTCTTGTTCAACAACGCAAGTGCAATATAATATCAAATATATAGCCTATTAAATTCAAAACACCATGTTTAATCAAAGCATAAGTACCCATTGGTCAGTAATCATGCTTCTTTCAGGAGCACTGACCGCACTTGGGTAGGTTTCGATCACAAAATTTTCTGATTAGAGTTGGAATTTGATTGATGGTCTGTTTGATTGATGTGGTCGGGAGATTTTCATCCTTTGTTTGTCTTTGAAATTCGTGGGTTGGAACTGGGAGGATTGCATCATCCAATGATTTTGCTTCACATGCTGCTGCTCCTCCTAGTAAAAAGGCAAGGGAGGGCAACTCGAGTAAGTTGAATTTGTCTCTTGACGACATCATTGTCTTCCCTCCTGCGTCCTGCCATACGTAAAATTAAAAGTAGTAACCTGTTGAGTTAGGACGTACCTTCGTGTAGCGTGAGGGTAACTGGATGAGGTCTTCAGTTTCTGGCCTTCATGATAATTATGATCCCACAGGGTGCCTTCTCTGTTCTTTTTAATCCCCTTCAGCTCTTCCCATTAATATACTTCGTCATGAAACTTGAAATCAACCGTCTCCATTGCACTTCTGAAACCATTGTGTTAAATGGCTTAAAATTTGAAGAATTAAAGGTTTTGTTTTCATATCATAATTTCAATGAATTTAATTTTTATAATTTTCATTAATTGTTGAAATTGTAAATATTCGACAATTAAATTTGTTGATCACTAACTGTTTTGACTTTTCTTGGTTGATTATAATTATAACAATTTATAAATAGAAAATTAATTAAGATTATGTAACTTATTGAAAGAAAAAAAAGTTTGATATTTTTGAACATCGGAAACATGCAACTAATTGGCAAAAAAGTTCACGTGCTATGTGAACTATCAAAATTAACGGTTAAATGTGTGTATCATTAACTATTATTCTCAATCTGCCATTTGATTAAAAAATCAGAATTAAATTGCTGATATTATGATAAAGCAACAAAGTTTGATATAGCATGGGATCAATCTTCGATTTTGACCAAAATAGAAAGTATAAACTCTAAGAATAAATTCTTTTTGTACATTTTATTTGAATTATTGTTTATCATTTTCCTTTCAGAATTGTATATAATAAATAGGCAAATAGAGATGGGTTTTTGTGCATCCCATAATTGAAGGGATGCCGTCTCTTAGACTCTAAATTGTATTAAATTTGTGCATTTATTGTTAGCTCAACCTATCTCTTCTCTTCTCTTCTATTTGACACATATAATGAAACGTCCAACAAGTGACAGAACAGCTTGCCAGAAATTGTCACATCCTTTTCCCTACTAGCTATTATTGTATGGGCGTTACAACTTACAAGAGACAGACAACATAATTAAAAGCAAAGCTTTGTCACAAAAGGTAATGTTTTCTTTTAAATGGAACCACTTGCGTATCCCAAGTGTTTTGGCATCAGCAAGAAAAAGGGGACGTCTCTCTTGCCTACAACGGCAACATAATTAATTGCCTCACGGATCCTTAATTTACGTTCATGACCGTCTCCTATATATACTATTTGTATTACTTTATTTTGGTCACAAAAATGTAAATATATATATGTATAGCCTGTTTCATTGATAATATCAATCAAATACATACGTTCCAATAATTAAATTTTGAGACTTTCAGATTTAAATCTTCAAACAAGAAAAATTGCATAAAATTAGGTAAAAAATTTTCAAAAAAATAATCAAATAATTATGAAATTCAAGATAAATTATTTTAAAATTAACAGATATCTTATCCATTGACAAGTTTAAAAATATGAAATGGGTTTAATATTCTGAATTTAAAGATAAAGATTATAATAAAAATTTCAAAAGTTATAAATAAAATATCTTTTAATTCTGAACACACGAATTGTTACGAAAAGTTTGAATTGAATTGATAATTATGAACACAGCTAGCAATGACAAAAACGGCCCCTCTATGTTTGAAAAGAAGAAAAAGATATTGCTAATGACTATATTAATTAACAAGATTAAAGCTTAATTAACAAGTATGTCTCATCTGATTCAAACACTGAAAAAATTTCAGGTCTTTGCAGGATTGTTTTATTTGGAGCTCTTCGTACGAGAACATGTAGCTGGAATGTGTTTGGTTAAGCGGCTACTGCTTTCGTCATCTTAATCTCTTATCAAACATAAAGAATGTTCAATATTTCTGAAACCCATTTCTTAATGCATTGATTAACACAATTTCTGATTCACTAATGCTAATTAATTGTATAAGATAATTTCCCACTGCACTGCTTCGTAGTTTGAAAACTTTGGATTTTGAAAAAGGGTTTTGGGGGCGATTAGTTTAATACCAAATTTGAAAGTTGTTTACTCTATTTTATTTTTTTTTGCATTTAATTCGTACGAATTCCTAGCTATCCATTTGGTACCATTTCGCTGTGATTATTGGGTTTTTGGATTTAAAAATTCAAACAAATCTAACCCCAAAACAAAAAAGTTCGTCATTGACTGTCTTGGAATGTGGCTTTGGGCAATTCCATTAGAGTTTTAAAGGCAATAACATTAGTTGATGGGCTAAATTATGGTTTACACCTTATGGTCGGTTCCCACTAATCATGTGGTAAGCACTATTTCGAAACTTAATTGTTATTATAACCATCTTGCTTTGGCATTTTGTTAAGATGTTAAGTTTCTTTTGTTTTGTCAAAGGTTTTGGGTTTGAAATTTTTTCAATTTATTAGTCAATTTAATCTAATAACATCATTAAAACAAGAGAAGAGTCTTTAATTGGATTATTGGTTCAAGTGAAGTATTACATGATACAAAGATTGTAAATGCCCATAGAACATTGGTTACAACAAAACATCAGGGAAGCTTTACTTGTAATTAGTGTAAATTTAATACAAAATTGAACTTGTGTCATTCATTTTTGAGGAACAAATTTCATTGCATCATATATATATATATATATGTGTGTGTGTGGGAGGAAATGTTTGTCAAAAAAAAACTTGCCAAGAAAATTAAAAATTTTATTTAAATTTTCACTTATCCTGTGCAAGCCTTTTCTCTTTAAGAGAATTTCCCATATTAAAACCTCAAAAAGATTGGTGGAATATATGAGATGCATAGGTTTCAAACATATTACTAAAACAATGTCAATAAATTACATAAAAGTAAAAGGTAACATAAAACAACAAGGCCTATTAGCTCAGTTGGTTAGAGCGTCGTGCTAATAACGCGAAGGTCGCAGGTTCGAGACCTGCATGGGCCAGGTTTTTTTATTTTATCAGACTAATGGGTCTTTCGTCTCAGCCTACTGGATTTGTTGACATCCTTCTTTTCTCTTCCCTTGTGTTTTCCAGACTAATCTATCCAAACCAATAATAACCATCTTACATTATGTATTTCATTTCCAAGGTTTACATAAAAACAAAATTGCATGACATCTGAAATTTATTGGATTGTTCTTACAATAATCTACATCTCCTTTTATATGACATAAAATAAGCTTGATTTTTTTTTTCAATGGGGTATTAAATATGAACTAAATTAAGCTCCTGTATACCATCAGTACCAAACATAACAACGCTTTTCTTCAACTTTGCTTCCATTTTTTTTTTTTTGAGCTACACATCTTGCTTGTTAAAAGCTCATATGATAACTTTTAAAGAAATAATAAGAAATTATTAATAATATCCCATGATTAAAGTTGTTGATTAAGCCCAATTAAGATGGGCCATGAAAATCAAGCTCAATTAAGATGGGTCATGGCCACAACACTTTTTTTTTTTCAAAGCTAAACCGTGGACCTCCATTAAATAAATCGTTATGAAACTGACAGCTCTTTCAACGGTTAAATGGATACGGGGATTTCAAATTTTCAAATACATAATTGAATACAAAATAATACATCTACTTCCCAACGGTCACCTGATTTCAGTTTCCTTCTTTCTTCAGAGTCACAGCAAAAGAGAAAAAAAGTTGAAGAAAAACGTTTTCGATCAAAACGTAAAGAGAAAAAGAAAAGAAAAAGGTTGCACAAATGAAAGGGTCTGAGAAAAAAGTCTCATTTTCAACTCCTCCCATCCAATCGTCTGCATCTCCCAAAGGTAAACGTTGCCCTTTCTTTCTACTTCTTTATGTGCTTCTTGTTTTTTTTTCTTTACCCTCAAGCTCAGGAAGGTGGAATCTTTGAATTAGTATTTGGTTTATTGTTTTAATTTTTATGTTGGGGTTTCTAATAGGTTCAGATGAGAATGATAGAAGCAATCAGGAATTGGGTTTGAATCTGCAAAACCCGAAGAAAGAAACCGTGAAGAATTTCATGTCACCTACTGTTTCTGCAGCTTCAAAGGCCAGTTTTCGAAGAAGGAAAATATTAGCTGAAAGAAATGAATCCCCAGTATCAAATTTCTCCAATACTTATCTTTCAAAACCCCCAAATCTTGATTCAAAAGCCTCACCTAAGACCATTCCAAAAGCGTCACAGAAGAATTCCCCAAATCTTGATCCTAAAGCTAATTCCAAGGAACCTTCCTCTCAGAAGACACCGTCATCATACAGTTCCAGGGATGAGACACCTTCACCAAGGCCTTATGATCCATTAACCAATTACCTTTCGCCAAGGCCTCAATTCCTAAGGTATAATCCTAATAGGCGGAATGAGATCTTTTTACGCCTGAAAATGGAGGACAAAGAAGATGATGAAGTGAGTGTCTGTAGCACTTCTTCTTTTGATTCCAAGAAAGCTTCCGGTGATGAAGCTGATAGTGTTTCTAGTGACGGGAGTCTTTCAGAGCAAGAACATGAAGAGTTCGATATTGAAAGCGATGAAGAGTCAGAGGAAGAAGTAGGATGGAGTTTGAGAGGGGCGTTGAAATATCTGCTTGTCTTGGTTGTATTACTACTAACTACAACATATATTTCTTCCATGAATTCTCCAACCCCTTCACAAGCTTTTGAGGGCCTTACACTTGGTTGTAAAAAGATCCATAATCACTCGAATGGAATTGTTGAGAGTGTTGAGGTTGGACATAAGTTCTTGGATGGAAAACAAGAACAATTGGGTTTATTGGGCTTAAACGAAGCTATTGTGGATGAGGGGATTCAGAAAGAGATGGTCGAAAATGTTAACTTGGGAGAAATAGTTAGCTTGGAGCTAGTGGATGGAAATTATGTTGAATATGTAGAGATGGTTGAAGAAGTAGAGAAAGATGGGAAAAGTGAAGATGCATGTGAAGAAGAATTGGTTAAAGGAGCAGATGTTTCTGACCAGTTTGTTCGGGAAGAATTGATTAAAGATGTAGAGAAGGTTGAATATTTGAATAAAAATGGAGAAACTGAAAATAAAATTGAAGATGAATTGGTGGAAACAAAAGAAGTTTCTGACCAGGTTGTTGAGAATATTGAGTTGCAGGAGACAGAAGAAACCGTGGAACAGATTGAAGATGTAGAGATGGCTGAAAGTGTAAAAGAAACTGCAGAAAGTGAAGATGTAATTGAAGAGGAATTGGTGAAAACAGGAGAAGTTTCTGATAAGAAGGTTGGGGATATTGAACTGCTGGGACAAGAAACTGCTGGGGAGATTGAATCCATACAAGGTGATCAGGCAGGTCTCTTGTCTGAAGGGACTGATCACCAGGAAGCTGCATCTCAAACAACAGCCTCTTCAGAGAAAGAAAGGGTGGCTGCAAAGGAGGTAAGTGAAGAAATTCACAATGAAGCCAGAGATGACGATATGGTTCAAGCCAACATTTTAGAAAGCGAAGTTACTGTGCTAGAGAGGTCAGGAAAATCGAGTACATTTGGGAATCTCAATTTTGAAGAAGTCAACCCACTGAAGGGGCTCAACCAGCAAATTGGAACTGAAGTGTTTCTCAAGGTTATGTTTGGGGTTTTAACATGTGCTGCTATCGTTGCCTCTTTGGTATCTGGATCTAATATTAGGAGAAAGGGAATTGCATCAAAGCACGCTTCTCTGGTGGAAAAGCATTCTACCAAACCTGTTGTGAAGGAGGAACCAAGTTCGGTGCTTTCTGCTGAGAGAGAGGTGCATAAAAAGCTTTTCGACTCTTTTATGAACACCATGCCTTTGGTTAACTCCGCGGACAAAGATATTAAAGAATCTTACCAAAGCCGAGCACCTTCAGTTGACTTGCTTGGTGAATTTGACGTGGGAGCAATTAGCAGCTCTCTTAAGAGTCGTGCCATAAAAAGCAGAATGAAAGATGAAGTGAGCAGCTATTCTGATTTTCTGGAAAAGGGTTTTGGGAGCAAGGCTTATTCAGCCCCGGTTCAGGATCAACAAGATATCTCAGAGTTCTCTACCGTGAATTCCACTTCATCTGAAAGATTGGCTGTCAAGAAGAAAATTTTGAGAAAAGAGTTGGCAAACAATGACATGGTAAGCTTTTTCCTCTATTTTCATTCAACTATATTTAGCATTCTTATCTCTGAGACTGTTTTCCTTATTATGGATGATCATAGTTTGAAACCAGAATCACCTTTTGTCTAATTCGTAGATTAGACTCGGTTTCAGATTTGTTTTAGTTAAGCTGTGACAGACAATTCCATGTTCACAAAGTGCATGATTATCTTATCACTGCCAGACACTCATTTAGCCATTTAGGACCACAGTTGCTGATTGCTAATACTATCTTGTAGTCTCTTTTGGAAGCAATTATATGTGCATAACATGCATTTAGGGACTGTTTTATGAAAACACCTTCGTTTAAGCATTTCGGAACTTTGTTATGTTTGCGTTGCAGCAGGCAGAACTGGATGGAGAAGGAAGGAACGTGGTCACAACTCCACTGAGGCGATCAGCGAGAATCCGCAATCGTGCAGTTGCATCTCCATGATATTTTTAATCTTGATATCACAAACAGCATCTCTGTTGTTTCATGTTGCAGCCCCTTTCCAAAGAAACTATTGTAGAATTTGGATGTGATCTCTAGTGCCTTCTCACTGTAGATCCGTTGTATTCTAATCTGTAGGAACTGATCATTGTAATACTAATTATTGGTTGCTTTTTTGTTTTAACAATCGCTTTGCCATGGTTATCATCTTTATGTTAATTTCTTATCCTTCTTAATTTCATCAACATATAGTACGGTCTTACATATTATACTCTTGTGATAATTTATCTTTGGGCATCAATGCATGAGTAGCGTTACATATTCGAAGTGGATTCCATTTGAAGAAGATAATGTTGAAAAGAGTGGTGTAGTGGTGGTATGCTGTATTGATAATGCTATAAATAAAGATTTTTCTTCTTTGGATATTGCAAAAGGAGATTCTAATCTTATTTTTTTTTTCAAGATTGAGTATGGGACTTTAATATGCTTCAAAAAAGACAAGATCATCGGGGGACTATGTAAGAATATTCGTTTAGCTATGATTTGAAGGGAAAAAAAAACATTTCAGGTGTTCATGACACTGAAGAAGTAATGAATCTAACCTATAATTTGGTTTCTGTATATGCTTTTAAGTATATTTATTTTGCAGTACGACTGCAGGATGCAATGATAAGAGTTGAGCGGTAGACAGTAATTCCTTGCATTTTCAATCCATAATTAGAAAGAACTACTTTTGTTTGCTAATAATTATTTAAGTGGAGTAGGGACCTTCTTTGGGAGCTGAGGTGGCCACAGTTAGGTTATTGCCTAGGCCACATAACGAAGACAGTTGACACTCAGCAAAAGGACAAGTCCTAGTCTCCTAGATAGCATGATTGCAACAAGGAGCCAGTCAGAATACTACTCAAGACATGGTGTCCAGGCATACGATACATGGCGCTGATTTAGGCAGCTAAACGTCGAAAGACCCTGGGTTTTATCTTCCAACTAATAATTGGAGGTAATTTTATGCAGAAATGGTACGAGCACATGCACTAGGACTCAAGCTCCTATAGGTGGGGGAATTTTGCTTGATGACATATATATATGCCTGACCTCCCACTTTCCAGCGTTGCAAATTTCATGTCCAGAGTAGATGACAAAAACTAAAGGAAGATTAAAATTTGAGGGGTGGCTACTGTCAGCCCGCCACCACATTTGGTCCGCATTGAAACCAGCATCAAGACACCACATTACAATTACACCTAAGGATCAAAAAGAAATCTTGTAAATAAACCACCAAATTTCATGCAAGAAAAGAAGTCTGGAATCAAACTGTAAATTGAGGTGCAGAAATTAATGTCTACTATATAGGCTTTGATTATTTTTTTTAATTTCTTATTTTGACACATTCCATAACTGAAACCCAAGCTAATGAAGCATTGAGCCAATAGATCGATCAATTATGGATAGGGTTTACAGATGAGGACGAGAATATTATACTATTGGTTCAGCCCAAAAGATTAAGCTACAATAATTAATTAATCTACCATACCCTTATCTGCACTATATATAGTGCTGAAAACTACTTTAATTAGCATCCTGCAGGATTAACTAGTAGATATGATTGCTTGTTTAAATAAAAGGAGTGGAGAAGGCTGATTAGTTTTGTAAAGAAGACAAGATATATCATATATATATATATAATTAATTAAGTAATTAACCATAAGTATATAAAACCTTCATGTTCATGGATTAGCAATGGATCAAAATGATAATTTATATTAGAACCCACAAATTAATTAAAATTTTGCCTTTTAATTTTCCATTAAAAAAATAGTAAAATAAAGTTTTGACCACAGATTTGATAATGAGTAAACCATGTGCGCAGATTCTTTATAATATCTACAAGGAGGGGGGAAAAAAATTCCGTGTTGCAATGAATCATGCAACTTGATAAAGGCCTATACAGATGAAAAGTTCTTTTGTACAGGAATTGGAGGAGGCCTGCCGCTTAAAAAACTGCTTCTTCTACCTGGAAAAGATGAGGACAGGGAATTTCTCGAGAATTTCTTTGATATGGTGGCCCTGGGAAGAGGGTAAAATTTATGCGTATCCAAGCCACCCCCATAGCTTTTACATGCCTTCATTTTCTTTCTGTAAGGAGTTTCTTTCTTTGCAAGGTCTTCTAGGCTCTTTACGCTTAAGAGGGATGTAAAGGACTGGGACTTGCCTTGAAAATGATTGGAAAGTCCTCTCCTGCAGTTCACAAACATGGAAAACATTTTAGCATGAACTGATCTACTTTTTCAGACTTATATATCTTTGATTCAATGTGAAGAATGAAGAAATATACATATACATATATCAAAGAGAAGGCAGGCTGCGGGAAAAGCTTTCTAAACGGTTTCAAGGAGAGAAACTTGATGTTTTCAACTTGTCATAAGTAATTAAGCCTAAATATCTTCAAAAAGGGCAAAAAAAAAAAAAAGAAAAAAAGGAAAGAAGGTAAGATCTATCTTCACAACATAACTGTTAACTTTATGAGTACTTAAACTAATCCTTCATGTTAGTACAAACTTACTTGATGGGAAGTTGGGCCATGAGCTCTGACATTTCATATAAAGGTCCATTACAAATGGTGGAAGAATTTGAAGTTGATGAAGATGCATCATCTACCAAGTCTGATGAAGAAGAAGTTGATCCCTGAGAAGTTCTTGAATATTCTCCCAGGGATGATCCAGAAGTTGTAGTAATAACATCATCATCATCATCATCATCATCATCTTCCACGTTCATCCAGCAATGATCTCCATGGTTCTCGTCATGCTTATCCTTCTCCTCAACAGAACCTGGAGCTTGAAACATTCCTTTGAGATCAGCTTGACCCATTTTTGATATCATCAAAATTCTTGGGAGAAGTGCAGAAACAACAGAAGAAGGCAAAATAACAAGTTTCCCAAATAACTGTAAATGAAGTTTCAGAAACTAAGCACAAAAATGCATGCCCTTGATGCAACCATGAGGACTTGAAACCTTAAGAAGATTTAGATTTATATATACCAAGAAATAAACCTTCACATGCTGATATGCATTAAAGGATACATGGATTAGGTTGGTTACTTTTCCAGGATAATGTCTCCATGACAGCAGATGCACACAATTTCCGTCATTTTTAAGGAAATAAAGCCGTGCATGGAACATGGGATCTCAATCATAAATATGACACGTGTATCCCAGCCTACATTTGTATCCACTATTAATATTCTCATCCATGGAGGTGAAGATACACATGTTGTTTCTTGGCGTTGAGTGGATGAAAATTGCATCCACTTGCTAGTTGGCTTAGAGAGGTCCTTGTCATTAGTAATGCTGCCATAGTGTTTTTTTTTTATTACCTTATCCATAGATTCGACATTATCTTCTCCTCTGGTTTAAATGCCTTGACCTAGAATTTGTACTAGAAATAAGAGGATAAGCTTGTTGCCTTTCAATGCCCAATCCTCACTGACTCACCGTCTGAAGACCACAGACCATTTTTTTTACTTAACATTATTGCAATTTCTATAGTCAATTATATTGTTGTTCTTCTAGATTAATTAGCAGGTCCTGTAATAGGCATTATTTTTGTGGGTTGAGATTTATATTATTATATATTCTAAATTAACATAAAATCATACATGGATCACCTACCTTGTCATTAAAAAAAAAATTAAATAATTAAAGTAATACAACGATTGAATAGTAGTAATTCTCGTCCTTCGCTTGATTTTTTTATTTTATTTTTAAAAAAATTTATTTTAAACTTTTACACATTAATTATCTTGTTATCAAATTTTACCTTATCTATTTATATCAATTTCTTCTAAATTGATGCTAAATATATAGTATTAATTTAAGTATACACATGCTTGATGACGTAATGTTCTATTTTAGATTAATTTAGATACTATCCCTTATCCATTATATTAACATAAATCTCACATGATTTATCGGATGAACTAAATTTTGGCATAACAGAAATAATACTAACTAATGTATATAAACCAATTAGTTGGAGTATTTAGCAAACACCTAAATTCCTTCCTTTGATAGTTTTTCTTTATTTGAATGTTTCTATGGCTTTTGTCACATGTTATGTTTTAAGAGAGGTTACTACTTTCACAAAAAGTAGATTGAAACTCATACCTATAGACCACGGAGTCAAGATTTTAAGTGTGAAAGGGTAAAAATAAAAAAATTTAATATTTAAGGGGTGAAATTATGAAATTTTTAAAAAATAAAAATAAATTTTAAAATAAAACAAACAAATATAAATTTTTGTAATTTTGGGAGGCGGGCCTCTGCCTATAGACACCGATATATTTAATTAATTAAAGTATATAATATTAATTGAGAATAATTGGCATAATACAGTGCCAGCGATAGATGTCAATCTCAAAAGGAAAGAATTGGATACACATTAAGTATTTATCAATTTTCCAAGTCCCCTAACAGGGAACATATGGATTAATTGGTCAAAACTGAATCGTATAAGCAAATTATGAACCACATGATGTACGAAGATCCTAACAACCCTTTCTTTTGGAGAGAATCAATCGTGTTCCTCATCAACAATTTTTCATTTTTAATATGGCATGTTTCGTGCATGGTTGTAACTAGTTTCTTATAATTATTCACTTATTTATTTTATCTTTCAATGTCATATGGTGGTGCATTCTTATCTAATGTTGACTCAAATAAATTAGTTTCAAACCTCATGGTCTTTGGCATGACAAACAACACTAGTATTACCACGTACATTCTTAAATTTGTCTATTAACTTGTGAGATCATATTCGACATTATATATGATTTTAAATCAAACTATATATGCTTTAACTAGAGATGTAAAATATATCTCAAACCCCCTATTTATTTATTTATGATAAATTTTGAAAGGTAATTAGGAAGGTTTTATTGGTAAATTCATAGTAACAAATAATAAAACACAACAAAGTAAAGCTGTTAAGGCTGCTTGCATGGTCAATCTATTTAGTTGGGGAAACTAGTCTATTATCAATTCTTAAGGGCCAATAAAATATGATAAATTGAAAGGGTAAGAGCACATTTCTTCTTCAGTAAGTTGAAGTCGAAAACTTAAGATAGGCAGGGAGACGGCTACGAGGAAGGTGATGAGGAGCTGATTGAACAAGTTAGAGGGTGATCCATAAGCACAAGGCTATGAATTATATATATGATAAACCCCAAAAAGAAAAAGAAAAATCGTGTGGTGGAACTTGGGGGTCACGTTGTCGAATGTTGATGTCCACCACCAAACCTTTCAATTTCATCTTCTTATCCATTCCCACGTAATTAGAGACAGGTTGAATTTTAGGGGAAGAAACACGTAATTATGAAATGGCAACAAAGTCCAACTAGGGAAGGCGCTGTTGTTGTTGGACATCGTTTGTTGGGTCCATATCCAAAGCTGGATGACTCCGTGACATTTCCACTTTTATTTAGACATATTTTTCCTTTGCTTTTAAATAAAAAGTAACAAAATTAAAATATTTCGCGAAACAAGATTCAACAAAAATTGAAGTATTATAATTCCATAATACAATGACAAATTTGACCTAATTCTCTTTTGTTAGGAAATTACAACTTTTGTGTTTTTGTTCTAAGGTTTGAAGCATTTATGGACTGAGTCTAATTTGGACATGGGATGAGTCATCCATAAGCACAAACTTTAAATATTTTAAAATGATTTTAATTAATTAAAAATTTCCTATTACTATGATTTATTAATTTAATAAAATAAAGTAATTCTTTGATGAACTACACGAGGCTTGGGCAAAAAACTCCTTAAAAAAGCCCAATTAAAAGTGTGTTGGATTTGCATTGCAATCCGTTGGACATATTCAATTCCAGATATAATGATTTATTATGATCGACTAAAATCTCTAAATTTTTTAAATGGGAACAGTAAGAAAAAAGCGAAGAAGGTTACTGCGAATAACCGATGAAAGTTGAAACGCAGAAAGAAAAGAGAGCAGGGAATGAAGAGAAAACAGAAGCAATGAAATGTGGGGAAGATGATTGTTGAAAGATTCAACGGTGGATTGAAGCACAACTGCCCATCTTCGCCTTTTAATATCAATTTTGCAGGGAACTCTTTCGAACAGAGTGCACTCGTCTTTGCACTACGTCGATACACACTATCCCTGCCCACTCCACTACCATACATGAAACCCTCAAGGTAAAAAAACGAAAAATAAGAAATAGAGAAGAACTTAAACATGACAGACGCTTCGCGGCTGTTTGCAAAGGTTGTCTGTGTATTTATAGGACGCCAATTAGGGTTTCAGTTGCAAAACCCAGCTCCGTAATTACCATGATGCCCCTTTTAAACTAATAGATATTCAATCCAAATTCCCGGTCGTTGCCGTGGGTCGGGTCGGTCTATAATGGAATCGATTCTCATCATTCATAAATTAATATTTGTATAATAATAAATTCGAAACAAAAAGATGTTTAAATTAAACATTTTTCTCTCAGTATTTAATTTATTAATTGATATATAAGTTTTTTAAAAAAATAAAATTCGAATCTCTTTTATAATAATAATTGAAAAAAAATTAAAGTTTTTTAGAAAAAATTATAGGATTTAAAAATTAGAATCTCATAATTTGGTTCTTGTGAAAAAATACTATGAAACTAAAATCTTGAATATACCAATTTTATGTAAATGGTCAATTGAAAAAAAAAATGTAACTCTACATAAAACTTGAAAACACTCCTAATGTATTGCCACCAAAAAAAAAAAAACCCTTATGCTACAGTTTAAAAGAAACTTCTTAAGTTGAGCATAAAAACGTTTTTAAAAACAACACATTTATTTATTATTAAAATAATTAAAATTTGTTTTTATCCTTTAAAGATTATTTAAAATTAAAAAAATCAAATAAAAATTTATAATATATTAATATAAATAATTTAATTGGACCAAACTCGTCTTGAGCCGATAATCCATCCGACCATGAACACCTCTAGTTGAGCACTTTGCATTCAGTCATTTGATACTTTTGATTACTACAATAAAAAGTAAATTTGAGTGAGATAAGAGTCTTTTATTTATTTGCTACAAACAATCCGGAGAGATTATACAAGTGACATGACATGCATCATTATTGAAGAGTCGCCATCGGTAGCTGGCAACATCATGAGAGGAACTCTAGTTTTACCCGTATCAGTCCTGAAATCCTCCATCATCAAAACGTGAAACATGGTAACTTTAACAACTCAAAACAATAGATTCCACCATATCATTATGTCATAGAAATGCTTCAAAATAAGCAACTCCACTGGAGTCAAAACAGCAGGGAGAATGAATACACATAAATTACGGTAACAAAGGGAATGAAAAGAAAAAAACCTATCAACCCAAAAAATTCATTTTGTCTCAAATGATTATTATCATCGCCAACTCCAAAAACTTCAATGCCACTTCATGGCCATGGAAGAAAGATGCAAGCCCAAAACCAAATGTAAAATAGGAGATTAACAAGCAGGGGTGGGGCCTACAGACCCTGATCAACAAGGTAATCCCCCAACCTCTCAACAACCATGTTACACTGTCCTGGGGTTACTGGTTCATCATACAAGCCAAAAATCAGAGCTTGGCCTGTTTTCTTCACGGTTATCCCACCAGCGCCCTGCAAAATCAATGACAACAATTAGGAACAGGAATATCTTTAGCTCTCACCAGTATCAGATAAACTATAACTTGAAAAAGTTCAATGCCATTAGCAGGCACTAATGGCAACTTAGAGATAACTTCTCATCAATGCGTCCCTGTCATCTTGCTTGTACTCAGCAATTCCAATAAAAGAAGGCATTTAAAAAGGCAGTAACAGCTAGTTCAACATTTCTGGGCACTCAAACAAGAAAATGATGGATGTCCTGATGCATGATGAAACCTAATTAGATAGGACACTTTGGATTAGACTTAATAAAACACAATCATAGCATAGTTAGCTATCTGTTATGCAGTCATAAAGGATAATGATAAATGCCCGCATGATCAACTATTGATAAGTGAAAATGCTTTAGGAATAAAACTTTCTACAAAGTAAAGGTAAAGGCAGTTGGTCATCCATGTGTTTGGGCTGTTTAGCGAGCTTGAGACTAATGTTGAAAGGGACTACCATATCAAAGCTGGAGAATATGGCTGAATGCTGGACAAGGCCCCACAGATAAGACCCTTGAAGCTCTATCATTATTACATGCCATATTCTAAGGTCTATAGCAACGCGTTTATTGATTATTAAGAAGGAGGAAAGGGAGAAAGATCTCATATTGTGTGTATCAAGCAAGCAACTAAGATAGTATCAAATATTTCCCTGTATCCCAAGGAAAGGTAAGTATATACTTATTTAAAGAGGCATGATCACTCTATTCTCTGAATTGCAGGTAAACTTACAACATATGATAAATCACCAGAACCATATAAGCTTAATGCACATTAAATCCAGATCAATTCAATAGAACAACCAGTGATAACCAAGGTTAAAAAAAAAGGCAATAATTCACCTTCTTCCCACGAATCACAGCTCCAGGCTCTCCCTGGATTACCATATATTTAGTGCCACCGAGGTGCAGCCCACTTGGTGCAAGAGACCCAGGTTCATCAAAATCTTTCATAATGGCAGTAATCTCTTCAGGCTTAAACTGCAAATAAACCACACCCCACCCCACACACCCCCCCCAAAAAAAAAAAAAACAATGGAAATATCCCAAACTAATTAGAAAATTTATGATCCCATGAGAATACATTTAAATAATCCAGGTTGATATTAATTTTGCAAAGTAGTCATTCAATATACTAAAAACTCGTGATTATGATAATGCCACGTCAAGATTCTGTGCTAACTTCCACAAACTTAAGTCCGAACGAATGAAATGGAGCAAACAGTTTTCATCACTTTCTTAGATTATAAACATTCTTTATAAATGAAATCAAACAAAAATGCAGACCATTGAATAATCAAATCCATCATAATATATATAATTCATAAGCAATATAGATCCAACGTTTTAATTTATAACTTTCATTGTATAATCACATTATCTAATCAACCAAATAAGATGAATCATGTGTCTATTAAAATAGATTAATCAACAACAAACAACCAGATCCACGTGATTATTGAACTAAATCATTGATCCAAAACAAACAGATCCAAACAAAAGTAAAACATTCTTAAAAAAAGAAAGGCAGTAATACCTGAGGGAAAGAGGTGCTCTTGGCCCAAACACTGCCATCGTGGCCGATGATAGCAGCGGCCGACAAATGATGGCCGCTGTCGATTTCGCACATCAGGTGATCATCAACGTAAGTTTGCCACGACATTTTCCTCTGATCAATCAATCACCGTTGATTTTAGTTGCTCTTTTATTTTCTTTAACGTCGATTCTGTTTTTCTGGGTTTCTTCAAAATGAAGGACGAAAATAATTTTTTGCTGGTTCGAGAAAAAATGTTTGAAACGAGGAGGAGTATAAATAGGAGGGAGTATTGGTTTCAAAGGAACGTGGAAAAGTGGGACCAATAATGATGAGGGCCCTATGATCTTATCTGGACCGTACGATTTCATTAACTTGATTGAATGAGTGCTGTTCACGTTCGCTGTTCACTTAAGGGACAAGGAAATAAAGAGGGGAGACGGAGCGAACACGATGACGTGGTTACACCGGATTTTCGCCACGTCATTATGCTGGATTATGATTTGAGATTTGTTCGCAGAGTGGAGTGCAAGGAAATGGGCCCAATGTAGTTGGTATAGGCCATAACTATTAAAGCCTTTAGTCATTGATAAACCCATTTCGATTGGGGCTTTTCATTATTAATAATGATCCATAAATAGTAATATGTGAGTTTTGAGTATTAATTTTTACACATTAAATTTTTTTAATTTAAATTTCGTTAAATTGATATTTTTATTTTCTTTTAATTTTTGGTTTTTTATTTTTATCATAAAAATATTTAAAATAATTTTTATAATTGTTGTGTGTTATATTTTTAATACGATGAATCAATAGGTTTATGAATAAATTTTTTTTGGGCAAGAATTATTGACAATTTACAAATTAAAAGATTGCATAGTACCGAAAAAAATCAACTTAAAAACTGAAATAAATAGTAGTAACTGATAATGTGAAGATATTAACAATTAAACATAAGATTTTAAGATTTAACTTAGTTGCTTTTCAAAAACAAAAAAAAAAAGATTAAACTTGGTCGAGCCTTCCCCTTACATTTATTTGAGGAAAAGAAACTAGTATGTAAATAAAAAGAAAAGGAGTGATCAGGCTCCGCATTTGGGCTGGGAAAAATACTTAGCATGTCGGTGAACATCATCAAGGGAAAAGAGGCGGAGTAAATCCATATTATCAAAGGGCTTAAACAGCAATGGATGAGCCTCATCCACAAGCTCCTCCGGCGTTCGTATAGTCTCCCCGCTAAATGAAAACAATGCAAGGCAATATCTTTCCTTTTTAGCTTTCATGATCACACGATGGGTTGGAGACTGTATTCTTCCATTGCTCCATGCCTAACAACAACATCAGAGTAAGTCTAAAAGGTAATTACAGCGGCTTAATTGTGCCCAAAAAAGAAAAAATCTTCATAGAAATGTATTAGTATTAACTAACCAAGAATGCATCGCCTGCCATGACCACGAACATTGAACCGGAGGGCTCAACGCCGACCCAGTTGCCATCTTTTGTTTTTATCTGTAGACCTGCAATGTGATTGTCATGAAGTATGGTCATGAAGCTCTTGTCAGTGTGAGGGCATCCATCAAAGTCATTTTCATCCTCCCTGGGTACCCTATATTTGATGAGTCGAAGAAGATAATTAGTAGATTTGATGTGGGAATCGTAGTACTTCCTCACACCATAGCTTTCAAACACCATGGTTTTCACCATTCGGTCCAATTCTGACACCAGCGTGGCGTATGCGTATATGCTTTTACTAACAATGTAAAAGAGAAACATCAGTAAATGTTACTTAATTTTGCATAGTATATGGGGCGTGAACAAGATAGAGATCATGTATACCAGAAAATTTGGTTCCCATTAGGCCACATGAGGTTTGTAAAACTTTGAGTTCCTTCAAGAATCGTTGGGTTATCAATGCCCATGCTTTCACTAAGAGGAATCGATGGATGTTTGAAGTAACCAAAGTAAGGTTTATCAGAAGTGTTTAGAACCTTCTTTTCTGTTGGAAGTTGGAACAATTCTCGTACAGAGTCGAAGACATCATCCTGAAGTTGTAAAGAAACTTTGTCATATGTTGCTAAGAAGCATCCATATTCTTCAAACGCTCGCTGGACCTCTTTGCATTTGGAGATCCAAGAGTCAGTACCAGGCTCGGACTCGTCATCAAAAAGATCAATGACGGGTAGCTTGATAGCTGACTGAGTTGCCATGATCATATAGTTTATTGAGCTTTTTCTGCTGAGAATAGCTGTTAGGCTTGGAGTATTGGCTCTCGTCGTAGTTACAGTTGCATGCCCCAAGACACGGTTTCCAACTGAACAAATCTTTGCTTAAATAGACGCCTAGCTAGGGGCCAAGTATTGCAGTTTGTTAATATAAATTAAATAATTATTGGTTAGACTTAGATTAGATATACTTTGTTCATTTCCTCTGCCGCCCCTTGCATATATTTTGGCTGCTTTTCCCGCGGATCGCTCAACGAATCAAAACTAAGCAATACGTAAGATTAAAGAAATATAGCTGACTTTCCACTGATTAAACTAGATTTCATCAACGAGCACTGAACCAACTTTTATAGTATAAATAGAATTTGAATAAATATTTTATTAACAATGAACCTGAATCCAGGAAAAAGTTTCGCACAAATAAAACTCAATATATGTTTACAATTCAAATTAACCAAATCCATCTAAATTTCCATTTTAACCAATATCTATCTCTCTTATCATCCAAGTTTTTGCTACACATAATTTCTTATGCTGCAAGTCTACATCAATGGTAGAAAAAATGGGTAGAAGAGAATATTATATTTATAGAAGGAAATGTATATATAAGATTAGAATATTTGAGATAAAATATATATGTTTAATGAAAAGTTATTTGCTAAAATAGCAATTTAACCAAGGGTCTATAGACATTTGATAATTGAACCTTATTTATAATTAGGATACTATTATAATGTTTACTAGCAATTAAAGAATCAACAACAGTTTGACACTACGTATACCTTTTATTTTTTCAACAGCGTACTTATTTTTGGCTCTATATGTCATACAACTTGCTACTATATCAAATGAAAAATGTCTGGATTCCATAGTTGAATTGGAAAAATTGTATAAACTATATTATTTAATTTCCCCAGCTACAAGTTCTCAAGTTGGTCTTTTTAACCCAAATTGCTGACGTCCATCATAGACTATCACCTTAATTTGAGCAATTCTATTTATATATCGTACTATATATGGAGACCAGTGTGAAATAATAATTAACTCATTGGATAAACAGCATACCAATACCATCGTATATTTAGTCTACTTCATAAGGTACGAAAGAGAGAAAACTTGTATGAAATTAATGTTTTGATTGAGATAATATATATTGTCTAACAACAGGGATTCTTAGGTGCAATCAAATAAATCTAAACTTAGATGAAGTATTTGATTTTTAAATTTCAGCTGCCTCATATATCTAAACATACATATCCTCATAGAAGCTGTAAAATACTTTTGCTAACAAACTAGCAAGGAAAAAGGATAAAAAAAAATCTTTAAAGAAAAATAAGGAAAAGAGAATATTGATGCATTTCTTACGATCAGACTTTGGTCTAACAAAATAACACCATACAAAAATTTTAATAATGATAATATTATGTATATATATATATATATAAATCCAATAAGTTAATAATAAAAAAATATTAATAATTAGATTGCCCGAAAATTTTAAGATAACAACCGATAGATATGCCATTTAATCTAGACTAGATTCCAAGTAGTTGGATTGCAACTAGTAGCTAGCAGGCACCGTCCAATAAAATAAATAATTACAGTCGGTTTTTTTTTTTGTAAAAGAAGAAACAAGATATAGATAATCAAAACCAGGCTTCGCAAGTTAAGGAATGAAGAACAAGTCAACCTTAAAATTGCCTTTAATTATCCGCTGAACACACGCGGTCTTAAGAACAATTTTCTATTGAAAAAATAATTAAAAAGAAAAGAGAAGAGGGGGCAAGTTTGTTAGCTATATTTAAGTTCCAATTGAGGCTGAAAATTTAAAATTTTGAGGTCAATTTAAAGCCTGAATATCATTTCAAAAATGACTTCCAAAGTAGGAAATAAAAAAAAAAATGATCCCTCTATTCCGTTAAAATTGTTTTTTATGCGATTAATTAAATAAAATCTTCGTTGTCTTTCAGAAAAATGACAAAATTTTATTTAATTATTCCATTAAATAAATACACAATTTATATTCAACTTACTAATTTTTTCGAAGTTACAACTTGAGGGTAGAATTTATATTTTTTTAATAGAAAAAAATTGTTAAAGTTTGTATATCCTTTTATATTACATACTAACTAAATTAATAACTGTGAGTAGGATATAGAAGACATAGCAAGTTTGGGGCATCTTGTAGGGAAACCTTTCTTTATACCCAATTGACCTCTTGCACTCGGACATTTAATTTATTGATTAGATTATGATTTTTTTATTTAAAGATTAGGGTTCAAATCCTTCCTTCTTCAATTAAAAAAAAAAAGCTTCCTTCATATATAGAGCAATTCTGAAAGCATCCCGTAAGGATTATACACTTAACTAATCCATTTAAAAAGATTATTAATTATTGAATTTGATTTTGATTTTTGCTGTGAATGAAAAAACTTGATGAATTACTTAATCAAAGAATCTTATGTAAATTTTACCCTAAAAATAATGTGACCATTAATAAAAAAGTCCAAGAAGTTTCTGTTAATCTTTTCATTTTCAATTTGATGCATAATAGAAGGCAGGACCCAGCCAGGAGGGCGATGACTGCTTAGACTTTGCCATGACATCGAACTCAGGATGGTTTCTGAATTTGATTCAAGTGCGCAGTGGGAATGGAAACTGGTACAGTGCTTCATTTTATGGGCTATAACTAACAAAGGCCCTTTGTGATTGATAAAGAGATTGGGGCATTTCGCCATATTTATTAAGTCAATGATTCTCTTCACCATAACTAGGAATACATTGATTTGAGATATGTGCTTTAATTCTTCTTTTTAATAATACTTTTTCTCTGAAAATTTTATTCTCTGCAAACCACTATAGGTTAATGTTTGGACATTTTAGAAGAGAAAATTTACATTATTGATAATATACGTTGAACTACAAATTTCATGCTGATGAGCAAATTCCATACTAGAAAAGGAAAAGGGTACAATATTATTCATGTGATCAGCTATAAAAATGATATAGAAGTAGTAGTGTAGTTAAGCTCAAATCTCTTCCAACCTTCTCTTTTTAGTATTGGAAAAGAAAGTTGAAATGTAAGATTTATTTATGTCATTTAATATATATTAAGAAGTCTTGAGGACTTAATTATGCACCACACATGGCCTCGTCGTTAAACTTTTGAGAATATTTCCGAACATCATCAAGGGAATAGAGCCGGAGTAAGTCAATATTTTCAAAGGGCTTAAAGAGCAAAGGATGAGCCTCATCGATCAGCTCCTCTGGCGTTCGTATAGTCTCACCGCTGAACGAAAAAAACCCAAGGGAATATCTCTCCTTCTTGCCATTCGTAACCACACGATGAAGTGCGGAGTGTACTCTTCCATTACTCCATGCCTATCACATTTCCAAAACAGATCAAAACGAATGTCAGCCCAAAGATTGCATATCAAATAGGAATTCTATTCATATTCCGCTAGCCTAGTTGTGCATCAAAAATCACCTGTTTTGCATGCTTCACGAGGCATAAAATTAGAAAAGTAATTGAGGATTTGATATGGTAATGCAGGTGCGGCACACATGGTCGGAAAATAATTTTTAAGGGTATTAGCTAGCTAGGGAGATACCAAATTCTAATCCCCAACTAGAGTCAATTCTCTCCATGTGTTTAATTTCTTTCTTATATAATTATCAAGATGTGAGAAATGCTTGAGCTCAAACGACCAATTGAAGGCAATTCAACCTAAACAAACAGTTGTTTAAGTTGCTGCTAGAACTAAAGTTGTGTAGGTGAAATGGGAGTTGTTTTAAGTGCATAGTGGGGGTTTCTCGATTATAAAAGGGGAAAGGAAAAAACTAACCAAGAATGCATCACCGGCCATGACTATGAACATTGAACCTGAGGGCTCAACACCAATCCACCTGCCATCTTTAGTTTTTATCTCCAGGCCGGCAACTTGATTGTCATGAAGTATGGTTAAGAAGCTCTTGTCAGTGTGAGGAAAGCCGCAGTTATTAGTTTCCTCTTCCTTGGGTAGTCTATATTTGATGAGTCGAAGAAGATAACTGGTGGAATCGATGTGAGAATCAAAGTACTTCCCTACACCGTAACTCTCAAACACCATGTATTTCACCCTTCGATCAAGTTGGGATACTAGCTTTGCGTACGTATGTACACTTTCACTAACCAATGTCAAAAAAATATAATAAATACTTTTAAAAAATAATGTTTAGATTTTAATTTTTTCAAAAAATGGTGAGAATAAGATCATATATAGATACCAGAATCTTTTGTTGCCATTAGGCCACATGAGATCTGTGAAACTTTGAGTTCCTTCAAGAAGGGTTGGACCATCAATGCCCATGCTTTCAGAGAGAGGGACCAATGGATGTTTAAAGTAGCCGAAGTAAGGTTTATCAGAAGTGTTTTGGACCTTCTTTTCTGTAGGAAGAGTAAACAATTCTTGCACGGAGTTAAAGATTTGATCCTGAAGCTGTAAAGAAACTTTGTCATAAGGTGTTAGGAAGCAGCCATATTCCTCAAGCGCTAGTTGAACATCTTTGCATTTGGAGACCCAAGAGGCAGTTCCAGGCAGGGAATTCTCATCAAAAAGGTCTATGTCTGGGAGCTTGACAGCTGACTGGGGTGCCATGGTTGAGCTTCTGCTGCAATTAAACCTGTCAGGTTAAGGTTTCAGCGAGAATATTCAGTAATTATATACATCTTCTGGTTTGCTAATGCATGTTTCACGACCATAAAAACAAGACCAAATGGGAATTTGCATATGAAAATTGAGTTTTTGCTTGGTCCTCGCTCGCAGCCTAGCTAGAATGGATTGATTAGTCTTCTATCAGAAAGCCCAAAAAGGTGTACCGAGTGGCAAAGCTACTGATTAGATTTTTTTTTTGTTTTTGTTTTTTTTGGGGGGGCGGTGTGGTGTTTTGTGGGCTGGGGAGGTCGTGTCATTTTCAAACTCTGATTTGCTGAAATAAAGTAGGAAAATAATTGATTAGCTAAGCATCTTTGAAAGTTTTGCTCCTTTTGCATGGCCAACTCCCGCAAGAAATTCACCTATTGTAAATTTTTAATGCTAGGGCAACCAGTATGATCTATGTCATGATCAGAGAATAGGAACAAGAACTATATACACATAACTTGTACAATACAAATGTACAGTTATTAATTTGTTGACTTTCTTTTAGTGCTACCTGTCCCCTAGAATTTATCATTTGATGTCATTAATGTTTTATGCCAACTCCCTTGATCTTATTTAATACACAATACAAAAAAAAGTTATTAATATGTATTTGCATATTGTTGTATTTATGATATTTGAAAAGAAGTCAGAGCCTTTCAGTTTATTTGAGAAAATTTTTTTTGTCAATATGCCAAGTGACAGAGTAAATTTACTCATGCTTTTACTGACGTTTTCTCTACCTATACATTTTTCTAAAAATTATTCGATGAAATTAATTAATTTCAAAACATAGATATATATGATTGTCATCCATCTAATGTTATATTTTTGTTACTAATAATAAAATACAATCTTGGCTATAGGGAATATAATTTATTGTTACTTGCTACGAGATATATACATATATATATATATATGTTTTTGTTCGTTTCTTTCCCTTCAAAGTTTTCATGAATCAAACATATATAGCTTGGTTCATAGCTTTTGAGGTAAATAAGTCAGAAAAAACTGCATAGATAAGCAATAATTTGAACTGTACGAACTAGTTATAGAAATAAAACTATAATATATAAATAAATAAGTAATAAAAATAAGAATCAAACAAAAAAATAATGAAGAATGTAAATTAATTTAAAGTGTCTTTGTTTTGTTACTTTAATTTAAGTTGCCATCCCAGGGTTAGGTAATCTGATACCCTGTAGTTGAAAAAGGATGTTAAGTTGGCATGCAAAGCTTTTTACTTACCTGATAACCTAAAACAAGATAATAATCATATAATAATACTGAAATTGAAGCGTGAAAAGTTAAGTAACACACACCACACATATCGAAAGATACATATATAAAACATACAGCAGCAAGTAGATTCAGACTAGAGGCAGATCGATCTTTTGATGCAAACCTTTTCACTGTATCAACACATCTACCCACCGACGCAGTACTTGCGTTTATAATACTCAAAAAAAAATAAAAATCGTAAAGCAAAATCTTTGATAAAAAAGAAATTGAAATTCTGAGCCAAGTATTGTTGCTTCTTACCAGTTTAGCAGGGAAAACAATGGCTGTTGTTACAGTTGCCTAAGGGAGACTAAGATTTCCAACTGTTCAACGCCCTGAATGCAGGTAGCAAGGACCCTGCTTATGTAGACACTTAGCCTCCCAGCATTTGGATGACATTTTTGTTTAGGTAGAATAAAAACAATATAATTAAAAAAAAATAGAGCTGACTTTCTAATTGATTAAAATAAATTATTAAATATACATAGACGAGGACTTTTTTATTTTATTTTATTTATATTGTTGGACGACTAACTAAACTTTTGTTTTCATTGCGGAATTTGTAGCTAGTGACATAAATAGGCATGCAGTAAATGAACCGGCCTCCTAAAAAACGGGCTCCACGCCTTGACAATTTGCACATCGTGTTGATTGCATCTAATATTTGAGGCTATGCATAAAAGAAATGAAGAGGAGAGGAGGACCACACTTCTAAGAATTAAACACTCCAAATGTCCAATATTGCTAGGCATGCAACTTCTATATCCTATTCTATTTGGGCCCCCATTTGAATTTTTCATGTCGGTAGGATTGATATGCTATTTAAGTTTGGGAAGATATATGTTATCATATATATTTTGGTTTGTTGACATTTCAGATTAACTTGAGTTCATAAACTAACTCTTGAAATCGATTAAGAAAATGATGAGTCATGGTAAAGATAATAAAATGAATCGTCCTTGCACTATCCATATAATGAATAACATACAAAATAATAATCCATCTCATTATATTTAAGGCGTTCATGAAATAAATCATTGTAAGTAATTTGTATAATATTATTGTTATTACATTAAAAAAACAATGACAGAAATTTGGGTATTGCCCACATCTTTTAACAATTGATGAATTCAAAGTAAATAATTCTTTCTATATTAATTAATCATTTGATTTTAGTCCTGCATATTTAGCTTTAAATCATTATTGAGGTAGACTAAGTAAGCTGGTTATTTAGATTTTAGAGCTACCCGGACGAGGGAGGATCTGCTTATCTTGTCCTATAAGTAATTGGATTTAAAATAATTTTTTTCTTTTTTTTCATGTTTTCAGATAACTGTGATTTTTTTATATTTTTTCTTCTAATTTTTATCAAAATAATAAAAAATTATTCGTAATTTTACCCACTATTTGGGTGTGCACAGGACTAATCTTTCTAGAATCAATTATTTGGTGCCACGAAATTGCTTTTTCCCTACAATATATACTCTCATGCGCATAACATATGATTAGACAATCTGACAGAGAAATGTTTGACAAAAGAGTATTAGTCATTTCTATTGACAAAAATGGTTTATTTCACAATTCGCGCTAAATTGCCACTTAAATTAAGAAAAAAAAATGCTACTCCACTTAATTATCAATTACCATTAATTATTTCTTTATTACTTATGCAATGTTATATATGTATATTAATTTATTTCATCTTTATATATCCTTGTTCTACATGTTAGATGATACAAATAGTTAAAGAAAATGAGATATGGTTATCTATGAATTATCTCGTGATTTTAAGATTAATCAAACTCGAGCATACAAATCAAAAGTAGACATAAATTTAACATGCATGTATGAAGAGAGTCTATTTAATTTTAATATATATATATATATGTATATATATTTAAAGTTTCATGTTTTCTAATTGTAATTTCTGTTGAATGCTTTGAAGAGTTATTTCCATTAAATTAAATAGTAATATAGAGTTAAAGAGAAGCATGCATATAGCATTTATTTTTTTGCACAATGTCAATGCCGAAAGTCAACTTTTGCTTTGGTAAGCAAAGTCAATAACTTCTACCTCATTTAGTGATTTATATATAAATGCTATTAAGATAAGATTGATAGGTTTTATAATTATTATAATATTTTCCATTGTAAAATGTCGTTATCAACAATTGGTTTCTTTTTTGATCATTGCCCAATCATAATAGCGGCGAAAATTCGTAGGTAAAAATTTGTCCCACAGTCATCCTCTCGTTTCATGTTGTCATCAATTTGCGTTATAACATATTTTCGTTTTTATAATATTATATATGTAGAAGCAATTAAATATTTTGTCCTGTTCATTTTCTTTTCAAAAGTAAAATTAAAAAAAAAAGAAAAAAAGGAAGCTAAGTGCATGTACTTGAATATGAGAATTGTATATTTTAAGATTAAACAATAAAATAAGATTTTGACATTCATAACTAACAAAAAAAAAACAAATTTACATTTACATTTAATCATCTACATCAAATTTTTAGGTGTTGTGTAAATTAATTTATATATGACATTTTTATAAAGGAAATTATTTTTCCCCCAAAGTATTTCCAAATAAATTCATGGTGTATTGATTCTCAAAAATTCAATTAACAACTAAAAAGCAAGTATAAACTAAAATAAATTCAATTAAACATGTTATAGTTATTGATAAATTAAACAAAAGTAGTTCTTCAATATTAGGTTTCACCCCATGGGCATGGCTTAGTTAATTATAAATATGTGTATGTGGCAATCTGCTTCTAATATATAATTATTTTTGTAATAATATTATTGATGAGATTACCTAACCCTTTCAACGCAACCAAAGGCTGCTTGAAAATTTTCTAAACCTTGATTTCAAGTGATGGGCAAGGTTCGTCTACTGTTAGATGAACAAAATCCAAATTTTTAAGTGATTGCAGGTCCCTTCAAATTTAAAATATGCAAATTCTCAGGTTATGAGGAAAATAAAATTCTCAACCTTTCCAGCTAAATCCATATGGGTCTTACTCAGTTACTTGTTAATATATTACAAATGGAAAATAAAATTATGTCCCCAAAAAGAAAGAAAAAAAAAATTGGGCAGCCTGCCTGTATTTGCTATTTTAAAGTAGCTTGACTTAATCTAATTCAAAAAATTTAAGGCTCTGAGTTTGAGTGGTAGAGCACTTTAAAATTAAAGGTTTTCCAAAAGAAAAAAAAAACACAGGAATGAAATTTTTTTGGATGAGAATAAATAAATCTGCTTGACAACATAAATGTCAAAAGGTTTTTATTTTAACATATAAACTTCACTTGCTCCACTATAAATTATTTTCCTTGCAAAAATATCTCCAATTCAACATTCTTCTCCAATTTGCTCTACTTTCTCCTGTAAACATTTTCAGCCCATGCTTTAGAACTTCTTCTTCCAAACTTGTTATACCAAGTAACTAATCAAACAAAGTACCCAACTTTTTCTCAAAATCAAAATTTTTTTTAATTATGTGAATTGGAAAAAAGTTGGGTTGTGTTATTCTTTTTTGACCAAACACTGTAACATAGCTTCCAATAAGAAATGCCCCAGGGAGGTGATAATGGTAAGGAACAAATACTACGAGATGTTCATACAATCATAGGGGTGATAACCTGCGTGATGATAATGGGAGCTATGGTGCTGGTTTCTTAACAGAAATTATAAGGAAATATTTGGAATTGTTTGCAATAGAATGAGGGGGTAATCCACGGATCTCTGTTTTACTGGGTTGGGGAGAGGCGTTGAATTTATAATAATCGCTTGTGCTGATTGTTGATCATGCATGTAAAATGCCATCAATGAATCTTGTTTTGATATAATATAATAATTAATAATATGATGACTTAATTAACAATATATGTATGTATGTATGTATGTATACTAAGAATCCAGAATTCCTTTGGCGATATAATGGACTCGAATCAGGTTTCCAACTGATAACGTTTGATGAATTTTAAAGAACGAAACAGAGAATGTGAAGGACACAAGCATATCATATTCATGTGCTTTGACAAAAATTGCAGAGAGAGAGAAACGGAATAGGTCGAGCCGAACCTAACCACTTAGAGGGTGGCTAGTCACCAATGGAGAACAATTTTATTGTTTTACCTGCCAAAGGGGATATGGCATCTCCACATTTTTATATACAAAAACCTAAAACTGAAGTCAAAAAAATAGGAGAGTGAAAACCAAATTCAAACAAAAATTAATATATTATTTGTCTAATAGGTTCCTCCACTGTAAACATATGGCTAGAATCCAATTTGCTTTTCGGCATGCCTTCTTCAATGTATCTAATGTGTTATGGTGAAATTCACACGGTATAAGTTATCAAAGGGTGGTTTATCCTCAGCCAGCAGGCACCATGTCTAAATGAACTTTAAAAAATCTGCCATTCCAATTGAAGAGCAATATTTCCATGTTGTCAGACGAATCCCCCAAGGGTATTGAAACTTTCTCCATTGGACAACTAATATATAGGTTCACCTGCAATCCGCCGGTGCACAGGGTGATGTTAATGCACAAGAACTTGCAGCCCTGAGAACAGTGATAAGATGTGTTCAAGAGTATGGGCTAGAAGCTGACTACCCACTTGACCCACTCCAGAAAAGGTTTGCTCAACTGGAAAAATCAAAATCAGATAATAGGAAGAGAGTAGGAGATTCTGATAAACATCAGCAGACAAAGAAGTCCAGAACCAACGTGGGATTTCGAGGATTTCGTGGACCTCTTTGTAGGACAACAATAGGTCTGCATATGCAGGAATGCCCGAAAGATATCCTCATGCTGGTCCTAACCTCTACAATTATCAGGTCCCAAACCAACCTGCTTATCCTCCACAAGCCAATGATCAAAGATTATACTACTATTCTCAAGATGACAGAGGTCCAGCTCCCTCATTTAATGCAGCTACATCTAACTATGGAAGCTATGGTGGTAGTGGACAGCCATAGATGTAGTTCTTGATAGAGAAGTTTACATTGATGCAAAAGATTAGTTGATCAGATTCTTTGCCCCTCTTTGGTACTAATGTAGCCCCCTTTTTTTGAGGCTTCTATTATCAAATGCCTTCAAAACCATGTAGTGTTATAGATTGAGCTTGCTATGTAATTTTCCATCAACCAACAACTTACTAGATATGCTAATGTAGGACATTGTTCTTTTCAAAAAAAAAAAAAAACCATTAGCGCCTCTTACAGCAGAAATAAAAAAGTTCACAAGTATCTTATGTGTCGCAGAAACTAAGTAGAAGAAAAGGAAAATGACCATCATTGTCATCTTCTTGGTTCTAATCATCTTCATCCTCATCAAAATGTTCATTCTGCAAGATTGTAAACATTATTGGCAACATTATTTTTAAAAATTCCAAACCAACATACGACTCTTGTTTTTGTTTCTTTATGAGAAGCATCAGCTTGAATTCCAATAAATAAAACTATTCTTTTCATTTAAGGTTTAATGGATCCTTTCAAACTTTCTCCAATCCGGATATTGCCTATTACATAAAACTAAAAGGGAATAACATATGCTGATATCATGTGACTTAGCATCTAAAACTTCATGCTGCCCTCATTATAATCTCCATCATCACTGTACGATTCATCAGACAGTTCTCCTGGTTCTTCCTCTGTATTGTCTTCTTCTCCATCACCTTTCTTTTCCTTTCCTTCTTTGTCTTGATCCTATCAAGTAGGAAGATGAAACAATTACCATTAGGAATCTATTGAGGCAAACAAGCATCCATAATGAGAAAGATTTGACAAAACACAAAAGAACATTTTATACTAAACTTTTTATTAGCAAAAAAGGTAAAGAGAAAAAGAAAGTAGAGAACGAAATGATCCAAGTTCCAACAGGTTTAGAAGCCGTTCGACCGAAGTCCAAAATATATGTGCACATGAGACGACATGCTTGGACAATTTACCTCAAAACCCTGTTCAAATTTCTTGAACATATCTAATTTCTCCAAGCCTGTGCACAAATAAGGAAAATGTAAATTAGGTAAAGGAAAAATGTATATCAGTTTAACTACAGGGTCATTTCGTAAGGCACCTTTCGTTTTACAAAGAACAAAGAGTAAACATCTAATTCTAGAAAAATAAGTTATTTCCTTCTTGTAGCAAAGACTCCAAAGACCAGCCATTAAGACTGGTGCATTCACCAAGAAATTAAAGGCATCAGAACTACATCAATCTGAATGCTGCCAGAAAGAAGTTGAAACAAGAATTTACTCAAAAAAGCTAGCCAGTTTGATAACCTTAGGGGAAACCAGAATATGTTAAAAGATGCAGCTATTCTTCTTATGCCGTTGAACAGAAAATCACTTGACAATGATGGTTAGCACAAAGGTTAAGTTGCTCCATTCTGACTTGGAGGTCATGGGTTCAAGTTGAAGAGAAAAAAATATATATATACTCCTGTTTCCACATTGAAAAAATGAAAACAAATGGTATAGAACATATCACTCAAAATCATTTATTTTGCCTGCTTGAAACTATCAGTTGCTCACAATGGTCCACCTACTCTAGGGTCGTTGCAATGAAAATATTATATTCTGAAATAAATTACAAGAATGTAGTTAAATATGATTGCCTAGCCCATTAAACATCTCTATAATGGTGTGGTGGCTGCTAGCTTAGTGACTATAGAATCACTTTTAAGATTAGTAATACCCTGTGTATCATGTAAACATGAAAAAGGCTGAAATTGAAATGTGCAACTTCAAAAAATAATGTCCATTAAAGGAATCCATTTGCTGTCTATTACTCCTTGCAATAAATATATAATATAAAATACCCAAAAACAAGTAAGCAATAGACATGATTTCTTGTCAAACCTGAGTCTCGATTCCATTGCATCTTTTTGGCGCGTCGCTGACCTCTCCTTAAATCTGAGATTCACTATTCAATTAGACTGAACCAGCAAAGAAAGCGAAAGTATAGCACATATTGTCTTGAATACCAAGTCAATATTTGCATAAGTAGTTTCAATTGTGAACCCCCAATCAATTCTTTAGGAAAATTATGAGATTGGAGTTGTAGAATCTGGTTAAGACTATCACGTTTTGAGGTGCTCTTTAGCTTCCACCAGTTAGAATATCTTTCTATGTCCATGCTCTGGCTTTCTAAAATCACATTCAGGAGAAAAATTAGTTTTAATATAGTTAAATATAAGAGCTATAACTTTGAAACAATATTAATACAAGCAAGAAGCCGAGTGCCAATTGATGCAGCTGGCAAAATGGGGAAAGCCAAGAACCAAAAAATAAGATTAATCAAAGAAAATTGGCAACTTTGACAAATTTGGCATATGTGGCACAACATAACATCAGATTTCGAAGTCGTCAATCAAGCATAATAATGAGGAATGCAATGGTGTGAAACTAATATTTATAATAAAGGCAAAACATGATGTACATGTTGTTTTGGGATATAAAATGTGGAAATTCAGGGAATATCTCTACAAACATTGGGATGTGAAAGTTTTTCTGAGGCTGCCCTCAAAATATTGAATATACATTCAATATTCAATATTTCTGCAAACAGTTTGAGAAAACAGGACAATGACTGCACTGAAATCATTGCAGAAATAGTATAATGATGACATAGCTAGACGTTTGGAATAGAATGTACAGGCAACAAGAGGTTGCAAAGTGTTTACTGTGTTTCAATATACAATATTTCTGCAAACAGT